AGATGCTTTACCCATCTTCAGACAAATAAAATTCAAAGTAGTATGAGGAATGAACAGTGTAAAGAATGCAATAATCACAAAATCTTCAGTGACCTTTGCAAAGCATGATGTGATCTGCTGGTTTTGGTTGGGATAGAGTTAATTTTCTTCACAGTATCTAGTCTGAGGCTATGTTATGTATTTGTGCTGAGAAGAATGTTCACAACACTCATCTTAGTTGTTGCCAAGAAATGTTTACATTAAGTCAAAAGTGTTTTCAGTTTCTGATCCTGCACCTGTGTTCCCAGCTTCTTCTCTACAAGAGGTTGAGAGGGGACACAGCCAGGACAGCTGACCCAAACTGACCAAAGACATATTTCATGACATAAGATGTCACGCTCAAGGCCAGGCTGGATAAGGATTGAGCAATCTGGTCTAGTGGAAGGTGTCCCTGCCCATGGCAGGGGGGTTGGAACTAGATGATATTTAAGGTCCCTTCCAACCCAAACCACTCTCTGATTCTATACCCAGTCTATATGTTGGAGTGAGTTGGCTGGGGGGTCTGGTTCTCAGGGGAGTCAGGACTCTGGCTTGCTTTATCTCTGGCTCTGGCTCTTACTGTTCAGGGACTGGATGATCAGTCATTGGCAGGTGGTGAGCAGTGGTATCATTTTTTTTGGTTTTCTATTTTGGTTCTCATTTTCATTACAAATTGTTATTTTTAGTAGTAGTATTTTCATTACATAGTATTAGTATTGGTATTAAAAATAATTGAAACAAAATAATGATAATTATTAAACTGTTCTTATCTCAACCTAAGAATTTTACCTTTTCCTCTAATCCTCTCCCCCATATCACTGGAGGAGGGAGGAGGTGAGTGAGTGGCTGTGTGGTGCATAGTTGCTGACTGGGATTAAGCCACAATATGTGATGTCTATCCAATGTTTATCTTCCACAAGTGAAGGACTTCTACTGTTGTTCTTTGAAACTATTTGTGCAATATCTCTACAGAGATTAATTAAGATTTCACGTAAGTGTTTCTATTCCTTTTTCTCTTGTTGGGGAAAAGTAAAATTTCAGGAATTTATCTATACTTGAATTTGGAAATTACTTAATCTTTGAAAAGTTACTATAAATTTTCACCATATTGAAAAAATCAGTTCAATTGGAAGGCCCTTGTCTGAAAGTGCTGCTTTTTAAGATATTCTGTTTTAGAAATTTATTACTAGCCACTGCCAAAATTGTTTTTCCTCCCTAAAATTATATATAAAAAATATGACAAATATATTTAGCCATAGACATAGATTCCCATGATATCCTGTATATATTTGACTCTCTGTAGGTTTTGTGACCTATTAGAGTGTCTATTTTAAGGATTACATGCAACTGAAATCCTAGAATTGCTCACAAAGGGACAGAGGTGGGTGGTATTTTGGAAACCAGACTCACAAATAATTCCAAGTTTTCCAGGTGGCCCCATCCCAAAACCAGTATGTACCAAAACTGACACTGAAAGTAGGATCTGGATTTATTATTTTGGTCTATCTATATTTTAAACATTTATCCTTTAAGTGGTTTTTACTTTTTTTTTTTCCTCTCTTCATTTACCTTTATATCCTTCAGAAATTCTCCTGAAGTTTGTCTGGCCATGGTACCAAAAAAGATTTCTTAAGGTTGTCATCCAGTACTATGGACTATGTTAGCTAAGCTTCTTGGAGTGTAAAACTAAACAACAGCAGTTGCTATTCATCCCTGTATCTCTACACTGTTCAGGTATATTATTCAGAGGCTCCTAACATGCTAAAAATAAAAATTCTGATATGATTATGACATTACTGGATGAAATTTATTTCATGTCTTGTAATCAAAAAGCAGTGGTTTTCACTAGCTTGGTTTCAAATGAAGTTTAGCTATATTGTTATTATTTTATTAAAAATAGTCTTAAAATATCTAATTTTAGTTTCCCAAATTGGAAAATCTTGAATACTCTGACTTATGCAAGGAAGAATATAATTCTCCTGTCTGTGACTTATCTTGGGGGTGATTTTTAGGTTTCTTGACACTGATAATAGTTTTAAAGATATATACACATAATATGAAATATATGGACTTACATTTTTAGTTTATGGTTGAAAATCAGCAAAAATACTTAAAGCCATTCTCAAAATACCACTGGGTTTAGACATACTTTGTGATTCCTCTCAACTCCTGTCTTCATCCTTGACAATCTGGCCTTCTAGACTTGATGCTTTGCTTAGGTTGTGCTTCCTTTCAAAGATGAGTGTTCATAGTTAAAATGTTGAAGTTTTTAAGGAGTCATCCTTTGCTAGCTCTTCAGCTTTGTAATAATTAAAAGATCTTTATCAGTCTCTGATATCTAGCAACCTTAACTTAATTAAGTATTGTCCTTTATCAGTGGAAAATATCTCTCAATGTTACTGGCTCTTCCTTTACTCCCCACCAGTAGTTATTTTGTGTACTTCCATAAAACCATACCACATGCATTCTCTCTTCTAATATTTCTGTATGTTACATCTTTCTCTCCTCACATGGAAATCGTTCCAGGTCTCTATTTCCATTGTCCTATTCTTTTCTGGACCATTTCCATGTCTGCTATATCCCTTATGAAATTAGATGACTGAGTTTTACCAAAGTATATGACAGAAGGGGTGCCCCTGATTTATATATCACATTTTGTTATTCTCTATCTCCCAATAAACACCAGTTCTCACAGCATTTTTTATGCTTTGAATATCAGTATACACATAAAGACTTCTGTTAAGACTATCTAAACTACATATTTGGTGTCAATTTAGAATAGCTCCAGTTGTACTTCCCAGCAGGCATACTTTTCCATCTTCCACATGTATTTGCACAGACTGAAGCTGGTATTAATTTTTGGTACAACCCAATGCTTTAGTATTCAGCCTTCATTAAAGTGGTCTTGTGCTCCAGAATAATATTATGATTTTAACTTAAGCTGTCTGGCTCCTTCTTCAGCTGTGAATGTACTTACCAAAAATGTTTTTCATAGAGACTTAAAGGTGCAGTAAGTGGAAACATTTCTGCAATTAAATTATTCTCTTTAAATAAAAAAATGTATCCAAGGAAGATTCCGAATGTGTTAATACACAAAAGGTAGTAGAGTCCAAAATCAAGGTTTTGAGTAGGGCTATTAAAATTATATTTATACATTTAATTGTACTCAATATCTTTTGCTTCCACAGTTCCTCAGAATTAAAAAAAAAATGCAGAAAATTCAGGTTTTCAGGCACCTGAATTTGTAACCAGGAGCCCAGTTCTAAACCTCCACTTCTGTGGTTCTCACTGAAAGTTTTTATAAGGAATAGCTGAGGAAACTAAGTTTAAGAAAAATGTTGGGGTTTTTTTTTTTCTTTGAATCAAATTCAAAATTATTAAAAAAATCTGTTTCTAACCTTAAAAAGAACTTGTAGCGTATGTCTGTATGAGAATAATATATCTTTCATTTTGTTATTAATTTTAAAGTACTCCTGAGCTCTATTAGAACCCTCTGAACACAGCTTTGCCAGGTTTCTTTGCCAAAAGACCATAAAACATAATAAAGGATTTGTATTGCATCACAATGTTTCTCTACTGATATGAGAACAGCCTACTATGAAGGATGTTATTTAATTCAAAATGCTGGAGAACTGTATAACAGAGTAAGCAGAAAGGAACATTTAGAATAAACATGAGGGGGAAAATAAAGGTTTTAAAAAAAAAAAAAAATTGTCTATCAACATGGCCTGAGCATGCAACACTTCCAAAGGAAGAGATGTAATCCTCGTCACTGGAGCAGTTCAGATTTAAGCCACACAAGTTGCATGGGAATATATAGTAGAGAGCAAACCCACACTGCCTTGAGCTAAATAGTTTGAATGATCTAATATGTCCATCTGCCTCTTCAACACAATATTGAATAACACTGCAGGTTATAAGGTTTTGATTGGGGGATAGGGTTGTTGTTGGGGGATTTTGTTTGGGTTTTTTTCTTTCTTTGGTTTGTTTTGACTTGTTTGTTAGTTTTTGGGTTTTGGTGTTTTTTTTGGGGGGGGTGTTTTAATGGAAATAGAGTTCTAGAATGAGCAAATATGCTGGGCTTTTCATACTGCTGGCACTTATGCTCTCATAGACTTCCCTCATCGGTGCTTCCACACTCACTGAATGACTAGCGCAATTTGCACATCTACAGTTTCTCTCTAAGTCTACCCTCTACCCTTTCTCAGAAGGGTTTTGATGGCTTCTTCCCAAATTAGTATTATTTCATTTCCTCAGCTTTATTTCTTTCAGTATTATTAACCCTCTTCATGACAGAAGAATTCTCCAGGAGTCTTTGCCAATCCCTTCTTTCAAAAGATGTTATTTCTATCTTTTTTCTGTGTGTAGATTGGTAATGAACCCAGAAACAAACAAAAAAATGCAGCAAGGTGGAAGCAAGAAAAGTGATCTCTTTTTATAAATAAAATCTCATTCAAGAGAAGAGGTTCATCTTCTGAATGTCTACAGCATTGTAAGCGGCTATATCCAACATTAGAAACCATATATTTCTATGAAGTTCTGGGTTACTTTCCTTTGTATAGTAGTCTCTTCTCTCCATTGACTGTAAAGGAAGTCTAGAGTAAATGAGATACAGATATCTACAAAGTTAAAATTCATGGTTAGTTGGATTACTCTCAGTAGAAGAAAAAGACGCTCAGAAGAATGACTCAGAATTTCTAATGTGAAGTTAAAGGAATTACGGCCTACATCAGCTATAGTCAAGTTATAACAACTCAATGATATCAAATTAAAGAAATAAAAAGCAGATGTTAGTACAAGGGTCAGCCTCAGCACTGTCTGACCCTTATTTGATTTGTGGGTTCTCATCAGCTTTCTTGTCTTCAGTTATAACATCCTTTTCTTTCTTGAAATAAGATCATTAAATTCTGCCTTTTCAAAAATTCAGGACTTCAGAAGGAAGTTCCTAGTAATTCTAATGTCTAATAATGCTACTTTCTTACCTCCTTCCTTGGAACAGAGGGTGATCAGAGTGTGAACTGTATCCATCAATTCAAGCTGCTGTTTCTGCAGGACACTGTTATTGCTTGTTGCCTTGTTTAACTGCTTCTCTAGTTCTTGAATTATGTAGCTTTGTCGTGTGACTAAGCTTTGTAGGTTCTCTTTTTCCTCCTTCAAAGTATCCAGCTCCTCTTTATGCCTTTCTTCCATTTCTAAAATTCTGTGCTCAAGTAAACTAAAATGAAATAAAATAATTAGTAGATATTATTTCATCCCAACAAACTGTTTAATACAAAAACCAGAACTATTTTATTTTCAAAAGAAATAATTTATTTTCAAAGTATCACATCTAATTCCACCCACTGATTTCCTCTATCTAGCAGCCAAATATAACTGTTCTCTAAGGTTCAATTTTGTAATGTTTGCATGCTGCAGTACTTAGAATAAAGTGCATGGAACTGCATATCTAGTTGTTTACACCCATCCAAGTGCAGGAGCACAGGGCCAGTAACACATTTGTATATAGAAGTTCAGACAAAAAAGCCAAAGGTAAGCAGAGGAGGGAGAACAGCACGGCATTCAAGAGAACATTGGTAGCATGGATGGGTCAGTATAAGAGACAAAAGCACTGGAACAGTTTGCCCAGAGTGTTCAAGGCCAGGCTGGATGAGACTTTAAGCAACCTGGTCTAGTGGAAGGTGTCCCTGCACATGGCAGGGGGGTTGGAACTAGATGGTCTTTAAAATCCCTTCCAACACAAACCATTCTGTGATTCTATGATTTGTAAAGGGCCTTCACACTGAGTGGAAGATAAACTTTGGAAGCTATGGAATACCATCAAGGGATATAGAAGCTGTAATAAAAGTACCATTTGATTTGGTCCGTGAATCTAGGAATGGAATTGTGCACCAGATGAGTGATATCTTCTTTCACATGAAGAATAGCACTGTTTCCTCAAAAGGTGAATCAGAAGTTAACATTTTAAGGTAGGAGACCCTTGTTTTCCTTGAGTTCACATAGATATGCCCCCCCACTCCTTATCTGGTTCAACAAAAGTCTCCTCAGACAGAAGAGTATTGGGCATCATAGTATGTGACCAGCTTACATCAATTCTTTATAAATAATTTTACACATGCATGGAAACACTTTTTCTTGACTAATATTCTTTTTGTAGTACCCTCTCTGTCCTCAGTTGGAAGTGTACAATTTAGAAAGATCAGAAGCATGTCAGATTATGTCTAGGAGAATAGAGGAGTTGTAGATGTCAGGGACAGCTAGTATCTGTCAACAGTGAACAAGAATCTTTTTCAGGCCAGAGATTTGATGCTGTGGTGTGAGTTTAGCAAAAAGACTTTACTAATATTAGATAAAGAAATTAACTCAATCCCTCTTCTACTTTCTGTTCAGTAATTCTACTTTATATGCCAAAAGAGGTGTTTCTCATGTTCATAAACACACTAGTGGTTACAGACTTGCCAACAAACTGCTTCCTGTTCAAGTCAGCCTTAGGGTTTATTTATTTGCACTCTCCCCCACCTTTGTTTTTACTTCTGGATAATAGATCAGTGGCAAAATGCCTGCATAATTTCAGGTCATTTAACCTAACTGAAGAACGTAATAAAATCCATATGGATTGGCTTCTACTAGATATCATGGAGCCTTAATATGAGCTGTTACTAATGATAACAATGCAAAGATTAAATTCAGACTCTGGATTTACTGTACAAGCTAGAGTAAGATAAAAATTTTTTGCCTTTTTATTTTTTTAAATAAAAGAAACCAAGCAGCAAATCTCTATCTCTGAAATGTTATAAATGTGGGACTTGCAAAGATACTGATGAAAACACATTTTCTAGTATATATCTACTTCTGTAAAAAACAAAGAACTGGTTAAAGATGGAAAAAAGTAAAGATAGGAAGGCAAAACACTTTTTCATGGAGTCCCAAATGCAGAAGGGAAAATGACATCTCATTCTAAAAGGCACGTTAATTAGTAATGAAAGCATAACTGGAATCAGATGATAGAAAGTTTAAATCTGAAACAAAGTATGGATTTTGAAGCCAAAGACAATAAGTTATTTTAACACCTTATCATACCTGTAGCTGGTTTTTTTTCATCACCTGAACTCTAACTTTAAATACAACACCTTTATGCTCTAGATTCATATGGATTTTTTTGAGAATATTTATGTGGAAGTCTTTGAGCTTTGTTATGCTGAAGGTCAGATTGATTCAGCAGGCATAAGTGGTTGAAAATGTCCTGATGGATCTTGTATTACTCATAAAATACTGTCAACAATATTTAAAAAAAAAGTTCTATGTGAATTTTATAGTATCTGTCCACCTTTTCATAAATATTATTGAAATGTTCATTTTAACTCTAGATTTTAACTTTTCTGATAGACTATATCAATGCACTTCGGACATGAACAAGTTGGGTTTGAGACAGAATGGGTACTATGTGTGGCCACATCTCAGTCTGACATCTTACAGTCCATTGAGAGTGTTGTGTACTGTTAATGTAAGATAAAGTGTTATTCTTGAACCCAGAATACTGCTTTATAGTGAAATGGTAAGGAAAGACAAAAAAAGTTCCCTTTACCTTTGTCCATATCCTAGTACAGTACAGGGGATTTCCCTAATTCCACAACATCCTATCTGCATATCCACAGTTAAATAATTTTCATATCGGAATGATTACATGTAAAAAAAAGAGCCTTCTACAAACAAAATTTTTGCATTGGATTATTCCCGCCATAGCCTAAGACCATAGTAAAGGAACCCACGATGATGACAGTCTTATTTGTAGCAAGACTGGCCATGTCAAGCAAGAAGGAAAAACGTTTAGAACTTCCCAGTGGGGCATCTACAGAGACAGAAAGCAAGAAGATGTTTTCTGGGTTCAGTAATAATACATCCTAATATTTATGAGTAGTGTGTCAACAATGTGGTAGAAAGATGGGAGTGTCACAATGCTTGGTACCTTTATGGTTTCCTATGTAGACTAAAAGTCCTACTATTATAAACCCCAAAACTAAGCTGTTTTAAGGAATGCATATGTATTTAAGTGATGTTCTTTCTATATCCATAAATCTACAACAGATAAGAAAAAGTCCTGAGGATAGGACCACTCCATGTATTGTTGGGACAAATCCAAAACATTCATTGTGTTTTACTAAGAATCAATGAGAAACCTTTGGTTAAAGCTCCACAAGAATAAAAGGAAAAAAATCATATAGATTGGGGATTTCTGCACTGGCCTGTTCCAAAAGGAAGAAATTCTTAAACAGCATGAGAAAAGCTGCTCTTATGGCCTTTGACTCCAAGGCCATAAATTTCATGTGTATTGTTACATTCACATTAATTATAGCTCATTTAAATTTTTTAAAAAGTTCTAGAAACCTCATAAATAATCTTGAAAGAGGTTGAAAATAATTACAAATATATTCAGAATTTTTTTAACAGTTGTGAGACCACACTGTTCTCTCTCTTTTCCTTGTGCCATCAAACAATTTCAAATAGACATATACCATGAAGAATAACTTTTTTGAGTACTTGGTAAAGACATTTTCTCAATTTTTTAAAGAGGCATTGTGAAGAGAGTTAAAATTAAAATATTTCTACTAGTTTTCATTAATGAGCATCTCTGACTTTAAATATTAAAGAAAAGAAAAAGAATGTTGTCTATATACTAATGAATCCAACACTCTGTAAAGGTTGACTGAAATTGTTATATAACGTTCTTATATAACACTTTCCAGTAAATTGTTATGGGTGTGATGTAATGACTGGCTCTTTTTTACAGTAAGTTTACTGTATATATTTCCTATACATTTGAAATTCCTACACATTTCCTACATGTTTGAAATTCCTATATATTTCAAAACATTACTGACACAGACAGAGGAAGCAACTGTTGGAAGTCTCAAACTCACAATAAAAATAAATCATCATTCACTAGAATTTATATATATGTACACATATATATATGAGCACACACACATTCACGTATGTATGTGTGTTTTTTTATAATTGTAGCCTTCAATTTGGAAAAAAAAAAAAAATCAGGCTTTTGGGGAACAGAATAAAGTTGTGAAGAAACTAATGTTCACATGGATAAATACCAATATTACCCCTTAGACAATGACTCTTTGGAGTCATTCTCTAGAAATGAATTAAATTAAAAACAAACACACGCAACCCAAATGCAGACAAACTTAACTTTCCTAAAGGTCAAACATGTTCAGTGTCTAGCCTGCTGATCTTCATGGGGCTATGAATCTATTTTCAACCATACAAATGATATGTTAACTTTGTCACGATATAAGGCAGTGGGTTTCCTCAGTCCAACTGTGCTGTGTCCAGCTGATTCAGAAAAAGGCCTCTGATAACGGTGGAGAGGGTAGAAGGCCTATACAGAAGTCAAAAAATGACTTCCGGTGAAAGCCGCTGTCATTTTGAAAGGTGATGAAGTAGAACATTTAGAAAGCACTCTGTCAGCTCTCTGGGGAGGGAGAAAAGCCTAGTTTAGACAATCCGCCTTATAAGGTAGGTAGTTTATTCACTAATCCATTCCAGACCATGGCAGTTTAAGAGATTTTTTTTTTTATCTGTGTTTTCAGAGGTCTCAGTTTAGACATGTGAGAACAGGATATAGACCAGATCATTGAGATGGACATCTTTTGCATTAAAATAATCTTGTTGTAACTCTGGATTTATTAAATATACAGATAAAACCACTTACTTCACTAAGCTAGTCAATAAAAAAGACAAGTAACATCACACTACAAAAAAATTATTTGGCTGTATACGTGTGGTTCTCTTGTATTATGTATGTGTGAGAAGAGAAGCATATAGATGATTTAAATGCTTACTTTTGAGTACAAGAATGATATTTTCTCACAAAGGCAGCTTCCTTGTACTTGCTTTTACATGAGTCAAATTTTCCCGATATTATTAGGTGCTGACCACTCATATTTACTTTGGTGATCTGATATTGTGTGATTATTTCAAGGAAATATAAAAATATGTGTCCCTATATTTCTAAAGACCAGTAAAATAATAGTTCACTTAGCATCAGTAAACCTATGTTTTATACCGGTGACAAGATAATTCCATTGAAATCACAAAAGTGAAGTGAAAAACCTGGTTATATTTTTCAGAATATGTGAAACCTGAAAATAAAGGTATTGTGTTTCCTCATCTTTCAGACATTCAAATGGAAATTCAAGAATCATTCTTGAGCCACTGACTTTCATAGGACACAATAGTTCTTGTACTGAATGTATTTATCTAGTTTGATTGTCTGCAAATTCAAGCTGGATTTTATGATTAAATTTCATTTCCACTATTTATTGTAGGAAGAGCCAATATTCCATTTTTCAAATTTTTCCTTATTTGTTTCCTTTGAGTAAATAAAAAGTTGGTTTCTCACTTGCATATTGAAACAAATGGCACACAATAAGTTAAATGCAGCTGTTACACTCTAGAAGAAAAAAAAAGGGGGGTTAAAGGAACTTTAGGGAAACCTTTCTAGAATAAATCAAAACAGTTTTTAGAAAGCTCTTGTGGGAGAAAAAATGGCAATGGAAGAAACCACCATTTACATTATAGTGGGTGGGAACCCACAAAACTAAATTATTTATGGCATGAGAGCACTCAATAGAAACATGATTCTGGGGCAAATGTGACTCTACTTATGCCATGGAATATCTTTCACTTCAGTGAGATAAAAAGAAAAAAATTGGCCACTATTCCCAGCAGAGGCAGGAAGTAAAGAGAAAGTCCAAGAATAGATATATCTCTGGCCTAACGAACATGCATTGGTCCCCTGTTGATATGCAGTGTTCATTTTACTTAAGGATAATATACAAGGTACTGTAGTATATCAAGGACAAGTTATTATTACTACAAGATTTTGTATTCATTTCATCCAAAATCCAATTCTTTGAAAGTGATTAAGATCATTATTTTTATTTTACATTGAGGAAATTTTAGCACAGACAAATAAATGATTGGCATACATCATCTCTTCTGATTATTTTTTGAAAAGATAATAGTTTCTACACTTATTCCTACTATGGTGTATACCTATTGCAAAATAAAGGCCCTTTCCAAACTGCTTAGTCTATGTAGGCAGCGCAGATGAAAGGAGTTCTCTATTTTATTGTTCTAAAAGTGATATGCAGGGGGATGAACTGGCTTTTTAACTGCCAACAGCTACTGGATGTACTTTGATGTTACTTATAAATCTATAGGTACTATTTAAAGTTAAGCAAGCTAAAATCATTGGCATGTACAGAACCTAGTGTTTACTGAAATGGCTAAGATTTCTCCCATAATGAACCTGAGACACACATAATTGCTTTCAGGATCAGGACCTACAAGGCCAAGATTACACAGTTCTTTGTTAGGAGTAGATGATAATACTGGAGCTGACATATTTTAGTGTAATCACAACACTGCCCTCCCCCTAATTTTATTACTCCCTGGGAGGGAGTAACAGAACCTGGACAGTATATGCCAGATTTTTGCTTCATTATGAAAGTTTCAAGATGAAATTTCATGTGTTTTTTTTTTTTTTTAATCCACATAAAACTGTACTTCTGAGAGAAACAGTTGGATATAAAATGTGCTTTTTAACATACCCCTTCTTTTCTTCCCAAAAACCAAGGCAGACCATTTTGTCGTGTCGCAGACCATTTCATCTTAATGTCAGCCAAGTCAAAGGTGAATTTAAGTAAAACTTATTTGTTTACTGACATGAAGGCTTTACACTCTGACACATTGCTAAGATAAATAAATTCAGATTTTATAGTACAGAAGACTCAGTCTCTTGAGAAGCCAATAAAATTTTTTTGCTAACCAGATTGTGGCAGATAAAAATGCAAGAACTTATATACTTAACTAATGCTTGGGTTAATCCCAAACTAAAATAATTTTGCAAAATATGTAGAATTAACTGCCTCCTGCATAGTCCTCCTGGACAACAAGGAGAGACTACATACGCAGTTTAGGTGAATTACTTAATTTTGAGATGGCTGTAGTCAAAGTTATACCACACTGATCTATTAATATTTTTTTAATTTATTCTATTTTTCATCATTATCTCATTTTTTCCTTCTTTTCCCAGTAGCTCCTTGCCTGTGGTGGTGTTAGTCTTCCTTACATGTAACACTGGGCAAGGTCTTTCCGCCTCAGTTGTCAGTTCCTGTCCAGCAGCACCAGAGTCATGTTGCCTATTTTGGCAAACTGATTTCAATTTAAAACAGTCCACTAAAGCTGGTAGAGGACACTTCAGTAATTACCTCACTTTTAAAGCTGTATGTCTTATTTCAATGTCAAATGTAGTGGATGCATGAAAGAGAAATCTCAGTCCTAGTCAGACTTACAGTTGTTCTTTTTGGAAAGGAGCTGAGAGTGAAGCTGCGGGGTGAAAGCACTCCCTGTCCTCCCTGCTTACACCTGGCCACTGCAGGCAGGGGCAGGAATATGAGCCTTAGGTCTCTAGCAGGGCAGCCAAGAAGGAAAACAGCTTTACCCACTGTGTTGGGTGCAGCTGTTTAAGGTTGGGCAGCCTCTGTGAGGACAGGCCAGGGCTGCCCCATGCAGGACACAGCCAGATACAGGCGGTTCCAGGTGGCTCTCATGGACCCACCACAGGGCACATCTGAGCCTGTCAGCTAAGACGGTGATGCCTTGGGGAAAACATAGACTCATGGAGCGGTTTAGGTTGGAAGAGACCTTAAAGATCACACAGTTCCAACATTTTCCATCAGACCAAGTTTTTCAAAGCCTTATCCAGCCTAGCCTTGAAACGTCCAGGCATGGGGCATCCACAACTTCTCTGGGCAACCTGTTCCAGTGTCTCACTACTGTCTCCATGAAGAATTTCTTACTTCTATCTAATCTAAATCTACCCTCTTTCAATTAAACCCCATTACCCCTTGTCCTGTCACTATAAGCACTTGTAAAAAGTCCCCCTCCAGCTTTCCTGTAGGCCCCTTCAGGTACTGGAAGGCTGCTGCATATTCAAGAAAGGTTAAACCACCACATGGCAGTGTGAGAAGTGAGGAAAAAAAAGTTAGAGAAACAATCCTGTAGACACCAAGGTCAGAGAAGAATGAGGGAAACAGGCACCAGCACAGAGATTCCCCTGCAGCCCATGGGAGACACCAGGAGGTATTTCCATGGAGGTCTCCATGGGGGAGCAGGTGGAGTTGTTCAGAAGGAAGCTGCAGCCTGAGAAGAACACATGTTGGAGCAATCTTAACCTGAAGGACTGCAACCCATGATTAAGAACCATGCTGGAGAAAGCAAAGGGCATGAGGAAGAAGGAGAGGTAAAGTGTTGTGAACTGATAACAACACCCTTTCCTCATCCCCTTGCACTGCTCAGTGGGGAGTTCGTGGAGTCAGATGTGAAGTTGAGCCATTGAAGAAGGGAAAGTAGGGAGGAAAGGTCTTTTTGGTTTTGTTCTTCTTTCTCACTATCCTATGCTGTTATTAATTGGAAATAAATAAAGCTGTTTTGCCCATGACAGTAACTGGTAAGTAATCTCCCTGCCTTTATCTCATCCACAAGGATTTAAATCATATTTTCTCCCCATATTTTCTATTGTATTGATAAGAGGGAGTGAGAGAACAGCTGGATGGGCATCTGGCAGCCAGACAAGGTCAACACACCACACACCCTATCTGAAATACTGGATTGCTAAATCCAGCGACTTCAGGTACAGAGTCCTTGTGTCACAGAAACGGATAACAGTGGAACTTCTTCTTGACTCTCACTTCATTGCTTAAAAAGTTATGTGCTTCTAAACATTTTTTTTCTTCAATTTCAACATAAACCCCAAATGTTCATCATTCACTTAATCTTCAGATCATGGCTCCAAAAATGTGATATACAGTCGACTCCAAAGGGAGAGATCCTTCTACATGTTCGATCTTTTTATCCATTAAAAATAGAAAGATGAACTAGTGAAGATTTCCAGTTGCTTATGCATTTCAAGGTAATTGATAATCTTATATTTTATTTTTAATATTTTTCTATTTGAAAGTGCTCATACAAGGTATCCCTATGCTTTTCAGCAGCAGGAACTGTGGTCATATGACTAAATTGTCATGAAGAAAAATGGGATGTAAATCATAGAATCATAGAATGGTTAGGGTTGGAAGGGACCTTAGAGACCATCTAGTTCCAACCCCACTGCCATGGGCAGGGACACCTTCCACTAGACCAGGTTGCTCAAAGCCACATCCAGCCTGGCCTTGAAGACATCCAGGGATGGGGCATCCACAACATCTCTGGACAACCTGTTCCAGTGCCTCACCACCCTCTCTGTGAAGAATTTCTTCCTGACATCTAATCTAAACCTCCCTGATTTCAATTTATACCCATTACCCCTTGTCCTGTCACTACAGGCTCTTGTAAAAAGTCCTCTCCCAGTACCCTTGTAGGCCCCCTTCAGATACTGGAAAGCTGCAATGAGGTCTCCTCGGAGCCTCCTCTTCTCCAGGCTGATCAAGCCCAGTTCCCGCAGCCTTTCGTCATAGGAGAGGTGCTCCAGCCCTCTGAGCATCTTCCTGGCCCTCCTCTGGACTCGCTCCAAGTGGTCAATATCCTTCTGATGTTGAGGGCTCCACAGCTGGATGCAGTACTCCAGGTGGGGTCTCACCAGAGCAGAGTAGAGGGGCAGAATCACCTCCCTCGACCTGCTGGCCAGTGCAGTGCAGTGCAGTGCACTTACAGTGCACATGAAAAGTGGTAAAAATCAACTTTCATTTGTCATACAGGAGCTAACACAGTGTCAGTTCACACCCTACCTCTTTTAGCCATTTCATAAATATTACCTATATTTTCCACTTACCGTATTTGCTTCTTCCATTTCACCAGTTACTTAGAACAAAGTATGCACAAACCACTTCGTGATGAACAGAGAAATAGTATAAGAGACCAACTACTCATTCTTACCTGTTTTTCTCATGAATTTTCAGAATTTCATGGGTCTGTTGTAGCATCTGTTTTTCTAGCTTGTACGTTGACAGTGAATTTTCCAGTAGCTGAATTTCAAGTCTAGATGTTTGATTTAGCACCTTAAGGATAAATTTAAAACATTAATGTTTATACTGTCTTGGTTATGTTGTTATAGCAACAGTAAGCAACCATTTCATTCTGATTTGATGACGTGTCAAAAATGGTTTCTGTATCTTTTTTTAACCTCAGCTGCTCAGCTGGTGCAAACGAACTTCGTCAAGCTACACTGATATGTACCAGCTGATATTCTGGCACCCTGTTTACTGTTGAATAATACTAGGCTGTCAGAAAAACGAAAGGTGACTGCCAAATAAGCTTCATTTCAATAGAAAGAACAAAAGGCATGCCTCAAACATGCAATCCTACAAAGCATGCTTAAACCAGAAGAGTGCAAGAGCACTTGGACTGAAGCCAAAGTGTTGCATCCGCTGTTTTGTAAATAGAGCTCATACTTCAGCTTTCCTGAGTTCTCTCTTTTGCAGTGTTGGCAGAAGTCTGGTGTCTGTTTATGTTACCACTACTTGCACTCTTACACAGATTTTTAAGATGACGGCTGTTGATCCTAAACATTGCTTTATGTAATTGTCTTTCACTTCAGTTGGTAATCTGTATCAATAGCACATTTTACTAAGTACATCAGATAAAAAGAGACTTTTTAAATAGATGAAAGAGGATAGATTCTAACAAAAAATAGTTCAAAAATGGAAATAACAGAATGATTTCAAGAATGAAAGCAGTAATATTAATTAATGTTAACTGGTTTTGTTGGTATATTGTCATTCATTACATAGACTCTGGGGAGTGTGCATAAATTTTTTGTAGGTAGGAGTGCAAACAACAGCTGAGATGCAATAATTTCTGAAACTGAATGTTAATGGATTTAATGGAACTTAATGGAACCTATCAAACCTTTATTAGAAGTGTATTTATCAGTATCATCATAACATTCTAAGTAACATTTTCGCATGTATGACTGATAGGAATTTGTTACAGAACATAAAGCCAAAACCAAAAATGGTTCTCAAACTCAATCTAGTGCCTTATTTTTGTTTGAAATTGTTGATATTCATAGAACAATTTGAGTTATCCTTTTTGAAGGACACAGAGGTTGAAAAAACTGGAAATTACCAATATGCAGCTTTTACGTTGTTCAAGATGGACATATTTGGAAGTGTCAGGGACATCACGACAGTTTTACAGATTCACAGAGTGATAGGGGTTGGAAGGGACCTCTAGAGAGTCCAAGCCCCTGCCAAAACAGGATCAGCCACAGTAGATCACATAGGAGCAAGTCTAGGTGGCTTTTGGAAGTCTCCAGCGCAGGGGACTCCACCACCTCTCTGGGCAGCCTGTTCCAGTGCTCTGACAACCTCACAGGAAAGAAGTGTTTCCTCATGTTCAGTTTGAAAATCCTGTTTTCCAGTTTATGGCCATTGCCCCTAGTCCTGTCACTGGACACCACTGAGAAGAGCCTGGCCCCATCTTCCTGACACACACCCTTTAGATAAGCATTGATAAGATCCCCCTCAGCCTTCTCTTCTCAAGCTAAACAGACCCAGCTCTCAGCCTTTCCTCATATGGAAGGTGCTCCAGGCCCTTCATCATCTTAGTGGCCCTGGGCTGGACTCTCTCCAGTAGTTCCTTGTCCTTCTTGAACTAAGGAACACAGAACTGGACACAGTACTCCAGGTGAGGTCTTACTAGCACAGAGTAGAGGGGGAGGATAACTTCCCTTGGCCTGCAAGCCACACTCTTCATAATGCATCCCAGGATGCCACTGGCCTTCTTGGCTGCGAGGGCAAACTGTTGGCTCATGGTCATCCTGTTGTCCACCAGGACTCCAAGGTCCTTTTCCCCAGAGCTGCCCTCCAAGAGAACAGCCCTCAGCCTGTACTGATCCATGGAGTTGTTCTTCCCCATATGCAGTACTTTACATTTGCCCTTCATGAATTTCTCTAGACTTCCTCCACCCAGCTCTCCAGCCTGTGCCGGTCACGCTGATGGCAGCACAGCCTTCTGGCATGGCAGCCACTCCTCCCAGTCTGCTATCATCAGCAAACTTGCTGAGAGTATGTTCTATCCCTTCATCAGGTCATTGATGAATCTATTGAATAAGGCTGGACCCAGCACTAACCCCTGGGGGACACCACTAGCCACCGGTCTCCAACCCCATTGACCACAGCTCTCTGAACTCTTTCCTCCAGCCAGTTCCCAACCCACCTCACTGTCCAAAGATCCAGTCCATACTTCCTAAGCTTGTCTTTGAGGATGCCATGGAGGACCATGTCAAAAGCTGTGCTGAAGTCAAGGTAGACCACATCCACTGCCTTCCCCTCGTCTATCCATCTAGTGATACCATCATGAAAAGCCATCAGATTGGTCAAGCATGACTTCCCCTTGCTGAATCCATGCTGACTACTTGTGATAAGCTTCCTTTCCTCAACATGCTTTGAGATGGCACCAAGAACAAGTTGTTCTCTCATCTTTCCAGGCATGGAGGTGAAGCTCCCTGGCCTATAGTTTCCCGGGTCCTCCTTCTTGCCTTTTTTGAAGATTGGCGTAACGTTGGCTTTCCTACAGTCCTCAAGCACCTCTCCTGTTCTCCAGAACTTTTCAAAGATTATGGAGAGTGGCCTAGCAACGACTTCTGCCAGCTCCCTCAGCACTCATTGGTGCATCCCATCAGTTCCCATGGATTTGTGGATGTTCAGTTTTATTAATTGATCTCTAACCCAATCCTCTTCAACTGAGGCAAAGCCTTCCTTTCTCATTACTTCCTCTATGGTTTTCAAGCTCTGGGACTCCTGAGGGCTGGTCTCAGCAGTACAGACGGAGGCTAAGGTGGCATTCAGTAACTCCGCCTTCTCCATATCCTCAGTCACCATGGCACCCACTTCATCCAGCAGTTGGCCCACATTTCCCCTGGTCTTCTTTTTTCCTCCAATGTACTTGAAAAAGCCTTTCTTGTTGTCCTTGACCTCTCTTGCCAGGTTTAGTTCTAAGGAGGCCTTAGCTTTCCTTATCCCATCCCTACATCCTCTGACAACATTCTTGTATTCCTCCCAGGTGGTTAGCCCCTTCTTCCATGTTCTATATACTTCCTTTTTTAGAGGGACCTGGCAGAAATTGAAGGTGTATTACAAAGAAGACAGGAAAGCACTGACGTATTTCCAAAGAGAATACATCTGTGGAGCAGCCTACAAAACGTCAGTAGAACTTCTGGTAGAGAAGAAAGCCTAAAAGGAATCACTGTGATTTGAGATGTATCAGGGTTTGGGAAGGGTAGGTCCCTTACCTACTTAAAGGAGGAAAAAGTGAATGAGTACTCAACACTTACAACTCACCTAGGCAGGCCTTTTTGGGATATAAAGAATAATTCCTCCTTTTTCTTTACTAAACATATACTACAGTCCATAGGTCTTCACTTCTGTTTCCTTTTAGATAGTCTGTTGATACTGAAATAAAGATTTTCCCCAACATTTTCATCAGTCAATATACTATGTTTTAGAAACTGTGGTCATTTGAGATTACAACATTTATGAATGAATGTTGATCTATTAACCAAGATGTAGAAAAAAAGGTGCAGGGAATCTCTGTAAGACACTGTATCTGTCTTTCGTAGTTACTGCTGTTTCTCCATGTACTGTAATGCAATGATGTACAAATTTTTTAATGATATTGTAAATGTGAGTAAGGACATTAGAAGAGAAAATATGATCTTTCAAGAAGTATATATGCTACTAGAACTAACTAAATAAATGCAATAATTTAATTCTCCTGTTCTAAATGAACAGAAAATGCAGTGCAGCTGGCAATATACCACATGATATGAAGGTCAAGAGGAAGTCAGCAAAAATAAAGAACACAAATATGCATCTTAAACTGATAAAAGAACTCAAAAGGCAGTAAGTACTACATATCTTTGCAATAAGCCCAGTATGAAATTGTACTCTGGGTTGTGACAGTGATACTCTTGTCACTTCAGAAAAAATGATGATTTTAGTGCTAGGAATCATATGGATATGGCTCTTTAAATTCATGTGCTATTATACAATTTTACAGTAATAACAAATACACAGTGTTTTATAAAGAAGCTGATGCTTGTCCCTCTCTCTTCACAGTTTAAAAGCTGCTGACATACACTACCTTTCAAAAAGCTGGAAACACTTGCAGAAATTAAACAAACTTTCTTGTAATAGTAAAGAAGCGAACAACGGAGATCAAAGACTGTTTTAGCTTGAAACTCGTTATTTAGCTTGACACTTGTATCATTCACAGTTGGTAGCTGAGCTGTTTGTTTGAAGTCAAATGCCAATTTAGTTTTCTGAACAGTCCTGCCTGCCTTACATACAGAGTTAAATGTATTAGCCATATGAAATGAAAAGAAAGACGCATAACAAGGGTCAGTCATCACCACTGTTGGTACCAAGAAAAAGAGTGTGTATGTTTCTTGGAGCCCTGTGTTGAAATGTTTTGTGTGGTGATGCATTAGAAAAGAATGAGGGTGGGAAAAGTTCTCTCCAATTAACAGTTTTTAGAAAACTGCTCTGGGAACATACCTGGGTTTCAACATCCGTGAGTTTTCTCGTCTGCTCTGCTGTCTGACTGAGGAGGCTGGTCCCTATCTCGAGCATGGTAGCGGTATGGTTCTGCACAGCATTCTGCTGCAGCTGCACCATCTCCGATTTCATGTTTTCCACAATGTAGTTCTCAAGCTGTAAAAGAGAAAAAGTTGTAGCTGTAGTAATTTTGCCTGTTTAGGCATTCTGGTGACATAAGGGTGTGTAGCTGGCATTCTTGCCAAGAGGGAAATTTCAATGTTTTCAGGGGGATCTCAAGTTTCAACTGACCCTGTGACTGTTGGGGTAGGGACCTGATTATTTGGGTACCCCCTTCCAGTCATAAATCCCCAATGTTTTTCCAAGTATCACAGCCTGATGGCATGAACAAGAGCAGGCCCTGCCTGCCTCCATCTGTGTCAAGGTTGAAGTGTTTGTGGTAGAGGTGTCACAGCCGCTCCAAAATGAACTCCTAAAAGAACAAAATTCACTACAGGGAAAGGCCGGGTACTATTTGTACATTGTAAGTTACATGAGAGTCCTACGTGCAAGAGATCCTAACATATCTCCCCTGGATTGTTTCTATCTCACGGTCATTCAGCAATGATGTTTTAGGGGGTTAGGTCCCCCAAAAGAGTTTAACAAACTCAGAAATAAATGCACCTTAGGTTAGCTGTGACCAAACAGTTGTAAAAATGGAGACACTGTCATGACAATAAAAGAAGGAAGTTGATGACTAAAAATCACTGAAAGATGTTCTGTTCATTTGTTTTAATCTTGTTATACTTTGGTTTTCATTTGCAGCTTGTTGAGCAGAGTCTGAATTAGAGCCCTCTAAATAAATTAAATAAACTAATGAACTGAAGAAATTGGGTACCCCAGAGAGAGGGTCACTTTTTGTTTCATTTTGTTTTAGTTAACATAGGCAGGGTCATTCCCTTCTAGTTACTTAGATTTTCAGCCTGCCACAACACCATGAACTCAGAACTAGTCTGCAATGTGATGAGTATGTTTCTTGCTTATACAAGCACACTTCTCCATCTTGCTTGATGTGCTGCATAAAGTATTAACATTAAGAAGGGTGGCCCAGAAAATATTTTTCAATACCTTTCCCTGAAATCAGCTGGAGTCCAGCCAATTTTACACCCAGTGAAGTTTTGGTCCTCAGTTTAATTTTGTGGCTGATTATGTTTTTTGTAGTTAGCTGATTCCAGACTTAAGTAAACACTGTTTCACTGAATATTTTTAATCGCATTGGACCTGCCTCTGCAGCAGTAAACATGTTTCATTGTGAAAAGTAAACTGTACAACTAAATAGTAAGAACCAGATGGAACTGATTTAAAGACTGAAGAAAGGAGTAGGAGTCAGATATACAGTGTGATTAATAAGAAAGGCTGCTTTCATCTTATCTATAAGCATTCCTGTGCTTAGAGCTAACTACTGTTAGATATTCTGATGAGCCACATCAGCTGAGCTCACAAAATAGTTATTAAAAATTTGATCAATTATGTATACCTCCTACTAGTTTTAAAAAATGTTTTTACAGAGAAAGATCACTGCCACAATGTAAAAATATTTTCATGATGGTCAAAACCAAAGTGGATGTCCTACAGTGTCAGACAACAAAAGCATTTGACTGAATTGCCAGGTAGCCACTGGTCTGGAAACGTGCAGAGTATTTTAAGTGGGTCGGAAAACTTGCTGTTGAATAGTCTAATAAGTATTGAAATGAGATTTAACAGCCAAGGAAAATTGTGTATTGCAAAACAATGTCTGCAGTGGATGTCTCTGTTTTCCACTCCCAGTGTAAGTTTACTCTGGTTTAGTTTATTACTGTCAGATAAATGTTACAGATATTAAGCTAGTTTAAGGGAGATTTTATAGATCCATTGCATGTCTGCACCATGTTTTTATGTTCAGAAATATTTTGCCTGTATATGTCCTCCACATCAGATAATGTATTTTTAACTACCTTTTGCTTCTTGTTGTTTTCTAACCAGTATTTTTTTACCCCAAAACCATCTCTTGATTACAAATAATCCCTATAAAAGAGCCCCACAGACCGGATGTTTGTGCTTCTTCATATTCCGGTCCAGATACTGGAACACCTGAACAAGAAGTTGAAATTTGTCCCACAGCTTTCACCTACTAAAGGAACACAGAGCTCTCAAGTATGAGGGTACAGCCCACAATGGAACACAAACACATGCACATTTTCCCACATTCCATGATTTTTGTGTCCAGATAAGACCATAGCATGTCTGTGGTGTGGCTGTACAGTGCTTGATTTGTTAGTCCGCAGCTTTCTGACACTGCCTTGTTGTACATGGGCCATGTGGTGCACGTGTACAATGGATGTCTGGGAAAACCCATGTAAAAATACGGCGGGTACAGTTATTACACGTAAGAAATCAGAAATTAGATATTTTCCCACATCAATAAAAAGAAACACAGATAAGGACATAAATATAAAAAGAAAAAAAGGACTGTATTCCTAACTAAATTTTTTCCTGTTATCTTACTGACATTGCAGAAAGGATTGCATTTGAAAGATCTAACAGCATCTGTGAGGAGCTACAGCAGGTTTTGACTAGCAAGAACACAGGCATAGATTGTGGCATACTGGATAACTTGTACCTTTAATTACTGTAGCCTAATACACTCCCCATGGTATCCAGTCTTGGGCAATTGCCCTTGGTTACTCACCCCTAAAACAACCTCTGGTTGAATCAGAGACTGATTCATTATAACAACAAAGCTGATTTTCCTGTTTCAGAATTACTCATTAAATGCTTTTGTAAATACTTGCTCTTCGGTACAATGGCACAGTAGTTTCTGTGAGCATATCTCAGGAGTATCAGGAGCTATTCAGTCAGGCAAAGAAGGGTAGAACAAGGACTCAGATAGTGTGTAGGTTCTGTTACAATAATTCCCCTTCCTTCACCCACTTCTTTTAGTGTGCTCAGTAGATTTATTGGTTGTAATACTGACCTTGTTAAAATCAATGGCAAAATTTCCATTGACTTCAATAGTCCAAGATTTCACCTATTACTTTTATTGCAGGAAACCAGCACTTACCTGGGACATTATAGCCAAGCACTGAGTTTTTTATCTGAAGTCTTCCCCTCTTTGGAGGCTTTGTATTAAGTGCACTGAACCTTAGACTGAGCTTTCTTTGTGGTTAGTTAAGAGGAATCGTATCTATTTAACAGGAGATAAAAGGACCTTTGCAGGGTGGCTTCACAAAAAATGTGACATGTAGAAATATATTCACAGAGTAAATTCAAGAACATTTAGGGACATTTAAGTAATATTTTAGAACTCATTCATCCTATAATTAACTTAAATTCCATTTGTCCAGAGCCTCTACTTTAAACAGTAAATATATAAAGCATAATGAAATACTATTTTCAGATGAATCTACTTTTTATATTTGCATTTTCAAATCCTTATGTTACGATTTCTTCTTATTTCAGTTACTTTTTGTTTCAAAAGTGAAATAGAATTCTTTTTTACATTCTTTTCTCCCCATCCCACCCCTTCCACTATATGACTTTCTATAGTGCCTTGACGTGCCTGTTATTAATTTGATTGCATCTGCTTTCAGTAAGAACCATTACATTGCACAGGAGTTTTCAGTAATGCAGAATTACCAGTGGGTTGCATAATAACGTTATAACATTCTCAGAAATAAAACTGTCAGAAGGTTCAGTGTTATTGTTGAATAAACATTCCAGAGGATTGTGCGTTAAAAGTATCTGGCTTTTTCTGGATAATGTTTATTGAATAATCTTCACAGAAACCACCCAAACACTAATCGAACTATTAAAATGGAAACTGTAACTTATGGCCTAAGTAAATGACAATGGTTTGTGGCAGATGGCTTATAAATAAAATAAGAACTTTTTCTTTTACTTTGATCAAGTAATGTTGGCCCCATGTAATTATATGGTAAGGATATGATATCCAGATGATGTCAGGTTTTCATACACTGACTTAGAACAAAAATGTAAGTTAAAGTAACAATAGACTGCTATATTGCACATCATTTAGAATAATAGAAAGACAATCCACCAGTGATAATTTGTAAGAGCTCGTTTGTTGTCTTGCATTGCATACCTGAAAGCGTACTAGTAATACTTCACCAGAACAACCAATGAAAGTTCTTTCCTTCTTTCTTTGTCTATTTGTCTAGTCCCTACACTGACAAAATGCCACAGGAGTCAGATATAAAAGTGCCATTTGATGTAATTCGTATTTTGTAAATACACCAAGAGACTTAGTGGGAATAATCTGGAAGAAGTAGAAATATATAGAATACCATAGAATGTCTCTGACTTTTGCAGAAGCCAAAGAGATTAGAAAGGAATTTATCACCAAGGAAAGTGATTTTATTAATGTATTGAAAAGGACATTACATGTATTTTAAAAAGAAGCATCTTCTACAAACTATTTGTAAATGAGAATATGATGCAGCCTTCTCATATTACAAATTCTAGGCATAGAGACCAACAGAATAAATCTTTCCACTATTTCTGACCCTATGCGATCAGTGTGAATCAGGGAAAATGGACATGGATATCATATAACGCAATGAAAAATGCTCAAATGTTAACATGTTAATCTGCTCTTATTTGGAACAACCTTACCTGGGCATTAAGCAAGTCAAAGAAAGTGCACATCAGCCAGAAAAAAAAATTGTAGATATACCATCAAATAGACTATGAAGATGACTACTTTTCCAAATCTATCCTCAATTAGACTTAGTAGGATTGCAGTATAGATTGCATCAAAGAGGTAAGAAGTGACATGTTTGAGGTAGGAACTTCCTCAGATCTTGGGTTACTGATTATTTACCTTATGATGATAGAAGATGCATAATGATAATTCCAGTGAATTTATGAAATCAACCATTGCTGAACTAAAGTGCAAGCTTTAAGTGACTGTATACAAACTGGACTCAATGAAAGATCTGTTGTGATAGGTAGTATCTGAAACTTTTTCAAAAAAATCATTGTCTATGAAATATACATAAACATTTGTGGGTTTCAATTCTAAATGAAAACAGGAAAAATAATCCAGCCACTCTATACATAACCAAACAAACATTTTTGAGGAAAACTGGCTATAGAAACTCTGGTTTATCCTTTTTATT